GGGGTGGGGGCGGTGGTGGGGGGAAGGCAGGGGGTGGTGGCGGTGGGGGACCCTCGCCTGCTGGGCCCCGGCCCCGTGGCCGCATCTCAGGGTCCAGCATGTCCATGTACGCCTGCATGTCCGCCAGCGCCGGCTCAGGCACCCCTGCGCAGGGCAGGGGGTCAGGGGGGGCTGGACCCGCACCCCCCGCCCCGTGCCCCCTGGCCCCGCACTCACGGGCAGCGGGGGCCCCTGGGGGACCGCCCCTCTTCTCCCCGGTGCTGGACTGGCTGGAGTGGCAAGAGTCGTAGTTGGAGAGGGTGCTGGCAGGGGAGCCCACCTCGAAGCGCGCCTGGGGCACCGACGCCGTGGTGTTGGGTGATGACATGCCCGAGTCGGGCTGTCGGCATTCCCCATCCGCCGAGGGGTCTCGTGACAGCACGCGGTGCTCCACGCTCTGCTGGCACAGCCGTGGGGTCAGGCAGCAGGGCAGGTGTGGGGAGGCCCTGCGTGCTCCCTGTGTGCTCCCCACGCCCTTGTCCCCGGCACCGCCGTACCATGTTCTCCACGGTGCGCAGGTACTGGGCGCAGTGGTTGTGGCCATTGTAGTCGGCGAGGTCGGCTGCTGTGTAGCCGTCCTGGTCACGGATGCTGAGGTCGGCACCATTCACCACCAGGATCTGGCAGCACTGGGGAGAGTGGGGGTGCAAGGTAGGGCTGGAGGGAAGGGCCCCCCCCTTGCCTTGACACCCTGTTGGCCACCAGCACCCACCTCCAGCTCGCCATTCTCGGCGGCATCATGCAGCGGTGTGCCACCCCAGCTGTCTGCAGTGATCTCCCCGCCGTGCAGCAGCAGCCAGCTCAGCACCTTGGCGTGGCCGCGGCTGGCGGCAAAGTGCATGGCCGTGGCCCCCTCGGCGTCCCGCTCCGACAGGCTCACCGTTGTGAAGCTCATCTGTGTGAGCAGGCGGGCTGAGCACTGGGGCTGTGCACCCTGTGCTGTGCCACCGCACTGTGCCACCACGCCGTGCCATGCTGTGCCTGGACAGTGCTTACCAGCCATACGATGACAGTGTTGTGGCCCATCTGGGCGGCGGCGTGCAGTGGGGTCATGCCATCATAAGCGCGCGCGTGGGGGTCAGCCCCACAATCCTGCACCAGGTACTGGATGATCTCCAGGTGGCCCTCCTGGCAGGCGAGGTACAGCGGGGTGGCCCCCGTCTTGGTCTGGGCACTCAGTGTACTGCAAGCAGGGCACAGTGCCTGTCACCTGTGGCCACTGCTACCACCAGGGCTGACACAGGGGGCAGGCAGGATACAGGGACATGGGGCTTGTGGGACACAAGGAACATGGGGAGGTGCAGGGGACACAGCTGTGGGCAGGCAGGGCAGTGCTAGGGCTGGGAGATGTCCACCCCATGGCTTCCCATAGGTCCCCATGCTGCGGCGGTGGCTGCAGCTGCAGTGGGAGGTCACTAAGTTAATCAGCTGCTTAGGCTAAGCTCCTTCCTCCGGCTGTTTTTGGACACTGCAATTTAGTCGTATTTTAAATTAAGCTTCTTACACAGCACCGGCCATAGAGCTGGCGGGGAAAGGCCAACCTGCACCATGGCACTGCCCAGCCCAGCTGCCAGGTGCCGGTGTACCCTCTCTGCCCCAAAAGGCCTTGGCATCCTTGTGTCTCTCATCCTGAATTGTGTTTCCCAAATTGTGCAACCCAAATCCTGAATCCCACACCTTTTACCCCACATCCCCCATAAACCCATATTCTGCATCCCACATCCTGCATCCTGCCTCCCGACCCCACAGGAAGCTGTTTTATTAAGTGCTCCATAAAAAAACCTGTTGAATATTTAAAAAAGGAAGAGCAATAAATACTCTGCTCTGTTATCGCAACGATCGCAGGCCCTTAATAATTGATCCCGGTAACTGTGAGATGAGCTGTGGCCAGCACTCCCTTCCCGCTGTGCCTTGCGTGCCGTGCCACCGAGTGCCTGTCCCGTGGTCCAGCAGTGCCAGGCTGGCACAAGGGGTGCTCCCCGAGCAGGGGCTGGGGCTTGGGGCAGTTGCAGATTGGGGTGCAGGGGACAGCGGGAGCACAGGCACAGGGTCAGTCTCTGTTTCCCATTTCTCAGTAATTGGGAAGGGGTTAAGCCACTTGGGCAGCACCAGTAAACTGCTTTGCCAGATGGCTGAGACCCCATGCTGGGCCACCGGCTGCCGGGGGGCCCGCGGGCCCCTGCGAAGGTGGGCTGGGGGCGGCAGCATCCCACTGCGGCACCGGGGATTGGATTTCGCAGCTGTAACGGAGCCTCCGGGCAGGCGCGGGGCTGGGAGCAGGGCCAGCCCTAAATAATTCAAGGGGAAGGCGGTGACAGCAGCGGAGCAACCCCGGCAAGCAGCGTGAAAGGCAATGCGAGTGCCGTGCCACACCTGGGCTGACACAGTGGGCATTGAGCAGGAGCAGTGACTGGTTTGGGGCTGAGCTCGGGCTGCAGGGGTTAATCCCAGAAGTGCTCAGGGCTAAGCCGGCACACCTGGGGCAAGGACATAAAGAGCTGGGGATGGGACAGCTCTGGCCAGTAAGTGCCATGGGATCCAGGGATGTCTGGTCCTGCCTGGAGGAAAGAATGCAGGGCTCTAGTGTTGTGGCACCCGGAGACAGAGGGTGCCGAGTGCTGGTTCACATCCCGCTGCCTTAGGACTCCATGGATGTAGGAGAGCTGTACAATCCCTCTCATCCACAAGCCTGGAGCCTTCCAGGGACAATGTGGAGCAACAGCGCATCCCCCCGGCTCCGCTTTGGCCGGGTCTGTGGGTTATTTCTAGTGGCCTCTGCCCACCACAGGAAATCGGATTAGCGGCCACTTAATCGCCTGCTGCAGCCTCGTGGCGAGGCCCGGCATCACGGGCCCTGTGGGCTGCTATGCCGTGTAACCCGGGGACCAGCCCGGCCCCAGGTACCGCTCAGGAGGAAAAGCGGGGATGCTGCCGCGACGGAGCCGTCTGTGAGAGGCTGCCGTGCCCAGCAATGCCCACGGGCCTGGACAAGCGGAAAGGTCGCCTCCGGCGCCGGGAGCAGCCTCTCCTCGGCGGTCAGCCTAATCCATTTACATAACAGCGGGCGGACAAAGGCGGCTGTGTTATCGCCCCGCGCCAGGAGCCGACTCAGCGCCCAGTGACAATATTTCTGCCAGCGCTCGCCCCTCTCCTCCTCGCCCTTTCTTTGTGGGCCATAAAGAAGGTGCAGCTGGATGCCCAGCCTGATAACGTGGCCGCGTTGCCCTTGGAGCTGGGAGATCAGGGTGGCTGCAGCATTCGTTCCCAGAGCTGGCACCTTGCCCAATGGCTGGAGGGAGGGTTGGGGCCACAGCAGGCCCCCTGTTCTCCCACTAGCCCCTCTCCTGCTGGTCAGTGCCAAGCTTCCGGCAGACCCTGTCTCGCTGCCAGCAGTGGGGGGCGTTACCTGGGGCAGTGTCCCAAGAGGAGTCGCAGGGAAGGGAAATCCCCTTTCACCGCGGCGTAGTGGACGGGCAGTGCTCCCGTGTTTGTGGCTGCCGTGGGGTCGCTGCCTCCAAAGCGGAGGAGCCAGTCGATTACCTCATGGTGACCGAAGCGGGCTGCCAGGTGTAGGATGGTGGCACCAGAGTTGTCTGTGTCCTGCAGGAAGAAGTGGGACGGCTGTCAGCACGAGGGACCAAGCCCTTCCGGCAGGGGGCTGGGGGCCGCTGGCAGCCGTGGGGCATCCCCCAGCCCGGAGCTGGTCAGGGTGGAGTTCCTGTCTGTACGGAGCAGGGCTGAAGCAAAAGCGCGGGGCATTGGAGGGACCGTGGGACCAACGTGTCTGCCCTCCGTCAAGGGCCTGCGTCCGCACACAGTGAGTGCAGCACAATGCCCTCCTTGTTCCACCGGCCGCGGAGCCCCTAACGGGACTAACTCCCCTAAAGGGAGCCCCGGCGGGAATTTGCCGCCGAGCCCCGCTGTGCCGCCGGCCCGTCCGCCCTCCACGCTCGGTGGGGCGTGGGTAGAGCTGGCCCCTGGCCAGGAGGTCGTCGATGCGTGCTGACCCCTTCCTTCCCGATTAATCTCCACTCCCAGCCCCGCCGCCGCCTCCTCTTCCTTCGGCCGTCACATGTCTTTAACTCTCGGCCGGGCCCGGGGCAAGCCGCTTACCGCCCCGGTCCCGCCGTTGTGTAACCCTGGGAGGGGGCGGCAGCCCCGGGGAATATGTGCTGCCCCGACGGCTGAACCCCTCCGAGATGCCGGGGACTCTCCGAGTCCGTCGGATGCCGCCCGCTATGCGCGGCGGAGCTCTGCCCGTGCCGGGTAGGACGGACCCCGGCTCGCCGTCGGCAGAATTGGGAGCACCACGCGTGACCGTGTCCCCGCGGCCACAGCCACCCACACGGGCCCGCGGAACGCCTCCCCGGCCACTCGCGCCACCGAGGGACCCTCCGCCGCCCCCCGCGGCCCCGCTCGCACCTGCACGCCGCAGCCCCCCTGCGTGAGCAGCCACTGGAGACAGGCGAGGTTGCCGGTGGCGGCGGCGTCGTGGGCCGGCGTGGCCCCGTTTCGCGCCCGCGCGTCCCCGCGGAGCGCGGCCTCGGCCGCCAGGTACCGGAGGCAGGCGAGGCGGCCGGCGCGGGCAGCGTGGTGCGCGGGGGACGCGCCCAGGGCGTCCCGCAGCCCCGGCCGCAGTAGCCCAGCCGCCCGCAGCCCCCGCAGCGCCTCCACGTCGCCCTGTCGCGCCGCCTGCAGCGCCCGCTCCAGCGCCATCCCGGCGGCGGCCCCGGCCCCAGCGGCCCCGGCGGCGGCCCCGGCCCCGGCGGCCCCGGCCGCCGCTTGGCACTGCGCGGCGCTCCCGCCCAGCCGCCCCCCGGTCCCGTCGGCTCCTCCTCTCCCTCCCCCGGGGCCGCCCCTCCGCCCGCCCCGCCCGACGGCGCGGCGATTGCCCGCTGCTCGGGACCCCCGCACCGCTCCCCCCGGCCTCAGCTGGGGCAGCCGCGCTTTGCCCGATGGCTGCCGGGGCCAGGACCGGGACCGCTGCAAGTCCGGCTGGACCCCATAGCGGCCCGTACGCGGCTGCCGGCACCGCTGTCCGCGGCCCTCAGCTTCGGCCCCACTGTTGTCCTTTCCCGCCGCCCGCCCAGGCGAGAGGCGCGGCAAAGACGGGCTCCTCCGGCACCCCCGACGTGCGCTGCCGGTCCTAAGCAGCGCAGGCAGAACGGGGGGCGCTGGGCGGGGTGCCGGTAGCCGGGCACGGTCCGCTTTGGAGTCCACCCGGACTTGCACCGGCCCCGGTCGCCAATCAGCAAAGTGGTCTTATGAACCTCTGGCGGGGCAGGGCGGGAGGGCCGGGCGGCGTTGGAGGACAGGCGGGGACACCCCTTCGTCAGGACCGCGGACAGCGAAGGTACCTCTTGATCAGCACCGAGGACAAGGCAAGGTCGCCCTGCCCGCCTCCTTCCCTACCCGGCCCTCCCCCCCGTCCCACCGGCGGTTCATAACGCCGGTAGCGGTATGGAGGGCGGGAGCGCCATGTGCCCACCGGGCGTGGCGCGGCAGGCACCCCGGCTCCTGCACCCCCTCCTGCCTCCGCCGAGCTGTGGTAGGTGAGAGCTCCGGCATTCCTGGCCCCCCGCGCCCGCGGGCTGTCGTTCTGCCCGCAGACCCTCCGCTCCCTTACGGAGACGCGCCGCCGCGCTCGCACCAACGAGAGCCGAGAGTTCGCGAGGCCGTGAGTGCCGCGTCCCCCGGGCAGGATCCTGGATCCCCTCCGGACCCTGCGTGCCCTCCACTGCGAGCTATCACCACTTGCTCGGGACTGTCGCCACCACTCGACCCAAAATCCCTGGGGGCCCACGGGAGCTGTGCTACAGCCGGAGAGAACCGACGGCGCCGAGAACGCGGCCGGGGGGAGAACGGTGCTGCTCGTGCGGACCCGAAGACCCTGACTCCCCACGCGTCCCCGCGCTGACAGGGCACTCCTGGGCACGGCGAGGGGCCCCAGTCCCGGTGGAGTCGCACAACTCCGCGGGCAGCTGCGGAGCCGCCCCCGCCCCGTTTCCCCGCGGCCCCGGCGCTCCTCCCCGTGCGGGGGCGCGCCGCGCGCTGCCCGCCAATGGCGGAGGGCGGCGGGGCGCGGCGGGGCGTGCCCAGGGCGCGGCGGGGTGTGGCCAAGCGCGCCGGTGCCGCAGCGCCGCTGCGGGCGGGGCTCCGGTGCCGCCATGTCGGAGCCGGGGGCCGCGGGCCCGAGCCCTGCCGCTATCCAGGTGTCCAGGTACGGCCCCGCCGCGGCCGGGGGCCCGGGTAGGGCTGGGCAGGGAGGCGGGCGTGCTGGGGACCGCGGGCGGGTGCCGGTCTGCAGCCGAGATGCCGCCCGCCCTGCTGTCGGCATCGGCATCGGCGGCGCCGCCCGCTTTAGTCACGCTGTCAGTGACACCGGCCGCGGGCAGAGACGCAGCAGCGCCGCGCCCGTGCTCCGTGGTGCGGGGGCTGGGAGCGGGCAGGGCTGCCGCGGTTCTCCCGCCTGTGTTCCCGCGGCTCTCGGGTGCGGCCGCTCTGAAACAGCAGTTCCTGTCCGGGCCAGCGCGCAGCCGCCGTGTCGGTGCCCCCGGGCCGTTATTCGCCGTTGGCAGGAAGCGCGGCCGCTGCCGGGAGGCCGCGTGGAGCACCGGCACGTGCCCAGCTCGGTCTGTGCCGCACCCGGGCCCGGCGGGGTGCGGCCCCGGTGAGACGCCGGCTGCCCCGGCAGAGGCGCCCTGCTTCCTTCCGCTCCCAACAGTAATTCGGAGCGCTTTCCATCGCCGCTCACAGGAAGCCGCATGCGAGCAGCGATGGCCCGACAGCTCAGCCGGTGGGCGATATGCTGCCTCCGGGCAGCCGCACCGGGGCTGGGCTGGGGGCGCGGCAGGGGTTGTGAGCTCTCATCTGCCTCCTTCGGCAGGATTATGCGCCCAGACGATGCTAACATTGCGGGGAATGTCCACGGGGGAACCATCCTGAAGATGATCGAGGAGGCAGGAGCCATCATCAGCACCCGCCACTGCAATTCCCAGGCCGGGGTGAGTAGGTGCCAGAGTGCCTGCCATCCTCCGGCGTGGTGACTCTTGACTCCCTGCCGCGTCTCAGGGGCAACAGAAGTCCTGCACTGGGAGTGTTTGGTCCTGTATGCAAACCACTGGTGTCTTTGGCTGGGCAGGGCCCAGTAGCTAGAAGCGTTCTGCTGAAATTGTGGTTTACCAGCAGAAACATTATTGGTCATTATTGCTGTTAATGTTTTAACTCCCGAGAAAGGTGAGTTGGGGCAATCGCGGTGCTGGTTACAGATGGGGAAGGAAGCATGGCCAGTGGCTGATAAAGTGGCGGTTGCAGTATCCGAGCCACACGTGTCATGGCCAGTTTGACTGATCTCAGGGAGCTGCCAGCTGTGGTCCCGTGTGGCGTGGCTCTGATCACTACCTTGGCTGTCTCACTGTCCCCAGGAGCCGTGTGTGGCTGCACTGGCACGGGTGGAGCGGACAGACTTCCTCTCACCAATGTGCATTGGCGAAGTGGCCAACGTCAGTGCCGAGATCACCTACACCTCCCGGCACTCTGTGGAGGTTCAGGTCAACGTCATGTCTGAAAACATTTTAACAGGTGGGTGGCTGTGTTCCAGAGCTCCAGGAGTAACAGTGTTAAGCCAAGAGCTTGCAGCAGTGACCCCATCCTCAGCTCTATCACTGGCAGCATTCGGCAGAGAGGAGAACTAGCATGTTTATTGACAGAGCTGGGGGTGCTGGGGAGGGAGGCAGGTTCTCTGGAATTTATGGCTCTATTGTAGTGAAAAACAGCAAAATCTGCTCATAGCTCTTCCTGCCTCATTTGCTGCCTGTGGCTGCCTTTGGCCTGAAAAAGTCCCCTTTTCCTGCTGTTGCTGTGACAACCAGTTCTGCTTGCTGGGACACATCCGCATTGCATTGTCACATCTGCTACGAGCTAAAGCCTGGCAGGAGCCAGCAGGGCAAGAGACCACCAATGCCAGTGGCATTGCTGGTGTGTGCCCATCCCCAGACTGGTGCAGGTACAGCACTGCTGGCCTTGGCACCATCACCTGCTGCCCCCTTCTCCTCCAGGGGCAAAGAAGGTGACGAACAAGGCGACACTGTGGTATGTGCCTCTGTCTCTGAAGAATGTGAATAAGGTCCTTGAGGTTCCCCCCATCCAGGTAGGACAGCTCACTTGGGTCCCCCAAAACTGGAACTTGTCCTCCCTGCGGAATGGCACTAACCTGGCCCTGTTGGCACTTCCAGCTGTGCCAGTGGCTTTGCCAATCCCCTTCTTACCAGCTTTCTATTCCAGTATGCGAGAAAGGAACAGGAGGATGAGGGGAAGAAACGTTATGAGGAGCAAAAGCTGGATCGGCTGGAAACAAAGCAAAGAAATGGTGATGTGATCTTACCTGTCATCAACCCAGGTAACATAAGCAGTATGTAGCCAGTGCAAATTGCCCAGCAATACTGGGAGACCAAACTGCTCTGGGTAAGAGCAGGGCAACTCTGGTCATCCCCAGGGCCCTGTAGCTGCAAGTGTGCATTCTGAAACACCACACCAGGGATGGGGATGGGATTTTGGAGTCACAGTGTGTTAGTGGAGGGAGAGCTGAGTGGATGCCTGCGATACCCTGCAGGGGCTGGTGGATGAGATCCCCTTCTCCAAAACCCCATTCCTGTATCACTCCTTGCATCCCTTGTGTGCTTGTGTACAGAGCTAGATTTTGTGCACTAGAGCTGATTTTGCTCAGCAAGGGGTAAATGCGAGGGCTGGGCAAGGGTGACCTCTAGGCCTGACTGTGGTCTTCAGGCAGAGGCAGAGAAGTGGCACATGGGGAATGTTGGGGGATGAAAGTTGCTCAAATGTTTTTTCTCCTCTGTCCTCCCTGCTCACAGACAGGCAGACAAAAGGTAAGGCTCAGCAGGCGCTGCTGCATGGGTGGTCACTCTGAGTGGGACTTAGCTGCTTTTCGTTCCTCTAAGCTTTTTTAACATCTCTCATTAGATAGAAAACACAGGCTCTTCTGAGAGAGGATTTCCTCTGCTGGGAGTTTGAGGGTGTGACTTCTGTCACCTGGAGGTTGTGGTGGGACAGGGGTCTCTCAGGATGTGCCAAGGTTGGGGGCATGGGGGGTGAAGATCTTCCCACCAAGGGGAAAACAGGAGCTCTATGCAGTAGGGTCTGGGAGCTTCAGCTGTGGCGGGAGGCAGACTGCCGTGTGACCCAGTTCACTCCTGTTTGCTTTCATGCTCTTTGAAAGCTTGAAAAGAAAGAAATTAGCTGAGCTAGAATAAAGTGGATGGGTAGGGATTAGAGGGAGGCCGCAGCCCGTCAGGTGGTGAACAGTCTCTGCCCTTGGAACTTCTCCAGCCTGGTTTAACCACTGGTTTCAACATAGTTCAGCTTTGTTTTTTAGCCCCATGTTTTTTTTCTTTGGACAACTAAAGACAGAGGTGTATGGTGGTGTACAGGTGCCAGCTGAGCAGCTCTCACCTTGCTTTGCTCTCTAACCAGAGCCACACACCGTTGGCTACAGCCAGTCCAGCCTGATCCACCTGGTGGGCCCATCGGACTGCACACTGCTGGGCTTTGTGCACGGAGGTGAGTGAGCACTGCCCTGCGCAGCAGCTGGGTTGCAGGTCCAGGTGGCTTTTCCCTGGAGCAAAGTGTGATTGGAGAGTGACTCAGTGTTTTTGGTGGGCTCTGCCTCTGCCTCTGTCTGGCTCTGGGCACACAGGCTCTTTGCATTGACTGTCAGGGTCAGAGTTGCTTTAGCTGAGACAAAAGCTTCCTCTTTTTGTGTATCCCAAAAACTCACATACTCAAACTGTAAATCCTACAGTTTTGTCATCGCCTCTGAGATTGCAAATCCTGGAGTACAAACACGCAGCGTGTCACTGCAATTAGCTGAAGTCATTTCCTCTTGGCTGGCAGCGCCCATCACCTGCAGAGCTGGCATGTGTGGTGTAAGCTCTGGGAGAGGTGTGTTTGCTGAGGGCTGGGACAACACATACCTAATCCTTTAATAAACAAAACCAACATGGCTCAGAGCTGTTTCAAGGTTTATGGGACTGGTCTTGCCTTGCAAGGGTAAGGTTTGCTTAGAGAAATCTGGGAGAGACTGAGCTGACCTTAATCACAGGTCTGCGAGGATGTTGCCCTGGTATTGACAGGAGTCCTTGTGCTGGTACTGGATTTTCCTGAAACTGGGACTTAGTCTCTGGTCCAATTCCCTAGCATAGCTTTGGCCGTGCTAAGGCCTTACTGACCTTTGTGTGGTTTTCCTGAAATCCCACTGACTTCCCTGAGACAGGATGCTCTGCTTCCCCTCACAGGTGTCACCATGAAGCTCATGGATGAAGTTGCTGGGATTGTGGCTGCCCGCCACTGCAAGACCAACATTGTCACTGCCTCGGTAGATGCCATCAACTTCCATGAGAAGATCAAAAAAGGTACCAGGGATGGTGGCAGGCACTGCGATCTCCTGTGTTGTCACACCCTGGCTCCCTTGGGTGCACTCTCAGGACATGCTAGCAGAAAAAATTAGTCCCTGTTTGATTTGTGCTGTGCTCCGCTTAAGACACAGCTTAAGCATAAAACATGCAGGACCCCTTGCTCCCTTCACCAGCCCCTCTCTGTTTCACAGGCTGTGTCATCACTGTGTCAGGACGTATGACATTCACAAGCAATAAGTCCATGGAAATAGAAGTCTTTGTGGATGCTGACCCGTTTGTGGATGAGCCTCGGGAGCGGTACCGTGCCGTCAGCGCCTTCTTCACCTATGTGTCCCTGAGCAAGGAAGGGAAGCCCCTGCCTGTCCCGCAGCTGCTGGTAAGAGCTTTTTCTCTCTGGACTGGAGCCAGCAGGGCCATCACCTCTCCTGTTCCTCCTGGGGCAGAGCCCAGCTGGACTTTTTGTCCAAGAAATCATCTTCCCTTCAGTTACTCAGCAGAAAAATATGAGCATGAACGAGATTTTGCAGGGGAGGCTTCAGGGTATTTTTTTATTTCTTCTGAAAATTGCCAGTGTGGAGGTTGGGGATTTTCCCCTTTCTCATTGTTGAGGACAGGCTGCATGTGGGCTCTGCACCAGGGGACCCTGAATGGCAACAGAGGCCCCCACATCCCTAAATGCTGCTCCCCATGGTGTTCCCATTCCAGCCTATATTAGCTCCCCTAATCCTGGCAGGGCTTTGCTGATGTGGTGTTCTTGACTGGGGGTCTTGGTTAATATTTGATGTGGCACAGGTCTCCTGCTTAATGCAGGAACACACTGGCTGTCACGTTGTGTGTTTGACGGAGGGCAGCTTTTCCCTCATACTTCTTTGAGGGAGGCACGTTTCCCTCCCGCACACACTCGCAGCACACTGACGCTGCAGCTTCGCACTCTTTCTGTGGCCTCAGACGGAGACAGAGGACGAGAAGCGTCGCTTCGAGGAAGGGAAGGGCAGGTACCTGCAGACCAAAGCCAAGCGGCAGGCGCAGATGCAGCAGGCTGCTCAGCAGTGACCTGTCCGGCACCCTCGCCACCAGCACCCGCTAAACATCCAGGTTGTTCCCGTTTGTTTTGTGTCCGGTCCGCGCCAGCCCCATGCCTCCGCCCGCCCCAGCCCGCTGCCGGCGCCACTGCTTTGCTGCTGATGGGCTCAGCACCGTAGACCTCGTGTTTCAGGTGGCTGAAGCTCCCTGAAAGCCCCCAGGAGTCTTCCCAGGCATTTGCCATCTGCCTCCAGAGCCATTGTTGCTGTTTGATCCCGCTGGCGACGCTCCTGCCTGTGTCAGAGCCAGGACGGAGGTGTGTGGTGGCTTGAGGGGCGCGTGAGGCCGCGAGTCTTTGTGCTGCTGTGTTTGACTCGCTGGTTTGTCCTACCATGCACACCAAAGCTTTCGTACGTGCTGCACCGCGCCGGGGCCGCACTGAATGTCTGTGACATCTCTAGGTAGTTCTCTGTGCACATCTAAGTTATTTAAGGAATCCTGTGGCATAAATAAAGTCTGTTTCATTGACTGGAATGAAAGGCTGACACTTTTATTTCAAACAAATGTGCTTTTCCCTCCTCCCCCAGATCTGCCCGTGCTCCCCAAGTGGCGCCAGGCGCTCACGACCTTGTTTTTAAGGAAGTCTGGCTGTTTTAACGGGACCCTCAGAGCAGTTCCTGCTGGGATGGGTTCCCGGTTTCGCATATTAAACAATGAAGTACCTGACAGGAGGGTGTAGTGAGGTGGGGGCTCGTCTCTTTTACCGTGCCTGCAGTGCGAGGACGGGGGGTAATGGCTTTAGGCTGACAGAGTGGAAATTCAGAACAGGTATCAGAAAATGTTTTCTGTGTTCAGGTGCTCAGGCAGCAGGAAGGTGGTGGAGGTGCCTGGAGGTGTTCAGCAGTGTTTTGGCGCTGGCTGATGTGCTTTAGGGGTTACAGTGGCGGTGTCAGGCGGGCGGCGGGACGGGATGACGGCCAAGGTCTCCAACCCCAGCGGCTCCGTGACCGAACCCGAACCAGCCCCGCCAGCCGCCGCCCGGCCCCGCCCCACAGCACCGCCGCGCGACTCTCGCGAGATCGCCGGCGCTCCGCTGCTGCCGCGGATGCGCGGGGCGGGGCTCTCGCGAGAGCGGCGAGGCCGTTTCCCGGGCGACGCGGGTGGGGCGGGGGGCGCCCGGAGGGGGGG